GTACGGACGGACGTCGGCGCCTACGCACGGTTAAAGGGTTTTACTTTTTAGTTCTCCCCCCCAAATGGCAGGATTCCCTTACAATCGTCTCACCACTCCCCCTCCCACTCTGGCAATCCCCTTTCCCCCAATTTCCGTTCTGCTGTTTTGCTATTGTGTTGCCCTGCCTCTCGGCAGCAACTTTGGCGATGGTTTAGCTTACGCCCGGGAATTATTTGAGTGCTTTTTGGGAAGCGTTTCGCAGTGCCCCCAATCCATGGCTGACTCGCATCCCAACCCAAACCATCCCAGCCCCCACCCCATTCCATGGCCTCATTCCGGAGCGTGTGAAAGTGCAGACGCCGCTGAAGGATCGCTGAAATGCTGCTTTAAAAGGCTTCACACAACAATGCCTGTGTGTGGGTGTATGGGTTTGGTATATATGTATGTGTGTGTACATTTTTGACAGATTTGAAAATTATTATGCAAAATGAATAATTTAGTTGAAAGTGTTAAATTGATTTGGCCTTTTCCTCCACTAAACATAACCAGACATCAGCACAGAACAGACACCACCACCCCACACGCCATCTCCTACTCTTACTCCTACTCGTTCTTCCCATTTTCCATTTCCATCGGGGAGATGATGGAGCAGATGATGGGAATGTCGGCAAGCCTTTTGGGTTGCTTCTCCTGCTGCTGCTTCGCTCATCGAAGCTTTGAGAGAAAACTCTTGATAATGCTATCGATAGCAGCTCTGTCAAAATGAAATATGCATGCCACTTGTCAAGTGGCGAGCAGCGAGAGACAGATGGAGAGAGGAGAGCAGAGCAGAGGGTGTACGCATCGCAGATAGGCCTTGAGAAAGTGTCAATTTAATTTCAAGTATGGCTCATTAAATTGAATAATCAGTTGGGTGCTCAAGAGCTGATGCTGAAAACCTGCACACAAAAGAATTATCTGCTAAGCTTTAATTATTTTGGAATCTCTTTTGTGGCATTATATTGCCAAGAACTTTAGCTCTGATTAAAGTTAAATTATGGCAAGGCGCAAAGTTGAACTGTGGGTGGGCTTCCAATGATTCCAAGGAGCTGAAGTTGATTGCCGGTGAGCAGATTCCATTTGGCTTCAAAAGTGGAAATGGTCTCTGCAGATCAAAGGATTGTGGTGGATGCTTTTGAAGCTCAAGACACCTACAAAAAGGTATCTTTTAATCCATCATTTAACCAGATTATTATTTAGCATATCTGAAAGAGCTTTCCGCGCCCAAGAATCATACAGAGATGGAAACTAAAGGAACCTGAGGTGATGTTTTCTGGTTTAAAACATCTTTTACTATGCTTTTTGTTGGATTTTCTTTAATTGAATTGTCTGAAAGAAGTTTTTCCTTAAAGGGGAATCCTCTGTTAAGGCAATTTAATCCAAATTCAGGAGTAAAATCCCTTCTTGAGTGCGAGAAACTTTACTTTGTCTCTGCTTTTGTTCCCTCAATCGTGCTAATTTAATGGTCAGGTCTCTTTCTGTCTTTACTTTTACTTCAGATCTGCTGCCCCCCAATCCCCTGCAGTACTTTCTGCTCTGCTCCCCCTTCTGCTTTATGCTCCTCCCCTTTCACATCTATTTGACATTATCGCCCGCACCATCTATCCAACAAAGGAACGAACGAGTGACTTTCTTGTCAACTGCATTGTAACCAGCGGTACGCCCCTTATGCGCTTACTGCTCATGGTCCTGCCCCTGCCCCTGCTCCTACTCCTACTCCTGCTCCGGACCCTGCCCCTGCGTCACGCCCACTCCTGACGTCATTTGTCAAATTTTCAGGCATTATTCGGCCAAAAGACATGTCCCCCATGGCCAGCAGACATTGTGGCAGTTGTCTGTTGGTTCCACCTTTGAAGAACGCCTCTTCACCACCGCCTCCCCCTCCCACAGCATTTCCTGGCTGATCATCGGAGTCGTTGTGGCTAATATTGACATTCCCTAATCTCTGCTCCACTGCGGTGGCGCTGGCGTAAGTGGGGTGGTGTGGGGTGTCCGTTAAAATGCCGTGTCACTTCGTTAGTATGCATGTGTGCGGCGACTCCATTTGTATCTTCCTGTAGCTGTCGCTGTAGCTGTATCTATGTATATCCGTAGATGTATCTATAGCTATGGCTGTATCCGTGTGCTGTTGGTCTCTCGCTTTGTGATTGTGATTGTGGTGGTGGTGGTGGTGTGCGGTGCGGTGCGGTGGTGTGCTGTGCGTGTATTTGTCTTGAGGTCGCGTTTGGTTACGGCTTTGAATCGGTCTGGGTGTGTTTTACTTTTGATTCATGCCCCACGCTATCAGCATTGGGCGTGTTCGCTGCCCCATGCCCCATGGCCCATGTGGTGTGGGGTGCCATTTATATTTGATGATGACATTGCCACCGGAACACCTTTTCAGTTGGAGTTGCCAAATCACACAATTCGTATATCAGAGACCCAATCTAAGACCCAGTTTCAGTCCCCGTCCCAGTTCCAGTCCCAGTTCCACTTTCAGTTTATTAGTTTAAGTAGCTTCGTTTTGTGGCAGTGATTAGTGCACACCCGAACCGCTGCATGCCACATGCCCCATGCCACACGCACCACACGGACACAAAGTGCTGCCCAGTGCAGTTCTCTCTTCGTGAATCGCTTTTTAACAACGCTGCAATTTTCGTACCCCTCGTATCCAATTTGTGTGGCAGCACAGACCCCGGGAGGCTGTCCCAGCGATGATGCCATGGTGCACCATTATGTGGTGTTGCAGGGTGGCATGGGTGCCGGTTGCCGTGTCTCGGACGTCATGTTGTTGCACAGTTACTTTCTTGCAGGCGCTTGCAACTTGATTTTGACTCCCAACCCCAACCCCACTCACCATCTCTCTCCGTCTCTGTGTCTATCTCCATCGCTCTCCTGTTTTTGTGCTGTTGCAAATTGTTAGAGGGCCCGCCCGCGGTGTAGCCACCAGCGCCCACACCCCCCTTGAATGAACCGCAAAACTCCAGCCCCCCAAAACTTAACCTGGCGCAAAGTGCAGCATAGACCAAAATAAAAAAAAAAAATATATATATATAGGAGCCTGCAGCAGGGGATATATGTAGATGTACATGTAGCTGGGGGGAAGCCAGTAGGAAGTGGCAAGGATATCTGAGAGCCAGCAGCAGACAACGAGCAACGATGAGACGATGACTGAGACTGAGACCGAGACACCACTGGAGGAGGACACTGCGGGCCAAAGCGATTTGCCTTTGCCAAAAAGCTGCACGACTAACTTTGTAGTTTCAATTCCTCGCACTCTCTCGCTCTCTCTCTGTCTCTCTTCTTTGGCTCTTCCCCTTTCACTGGGAGCAGCACAAGTGTTTTAATTTTACGACATTGTATGAATTTTACTGCTGGCACTGCAGAAAACATCAGCACCGCTGTTACATATCGTTAGCTTCCTTAACGGACATATCCAACCCTCCAGCCCTCCCTCCGCTCCATAGCTCGCTGCTGGCGCTGATCCTTAACTCACTTCATCCTGCTGCTGCTGGCTCATCCTCATCCTCCTTTCTCTGTATGTGTGTGTGTGTGTGTGTGTGTGTCTGTTGTCTGTTCCGTGCTCATAAATTGCAGCTTGTTGCAAGCGTCAGTGCAATCAGCGTCATCAGCTTCATCCGGCTTCAGCCGAGGGTTCCAACGCTCACCATGGGCCCAGGGATACCCTTAACCATATGAACTGCTAGGTGGGGTCGGGGCGGTGCGCCGGGTGGGTGTGTGTGTGTGAAGGGATATCATCTCCACTTTAACGTGGAGCAACTTCAGAATTTTTGCTGAGTGCCTAGAAAACTTTGGACAAGTTTTTTGGTTAATTTATTAAGAATTATGATAGCCCCCCCCTTCAGAGGGCATTATAATTTTGACTCTGGCAATGCCATGAGGGAGATACGGGTACTAGGATAGAAACTAGTCCATCGATCAGTTGTACGAGTAGATGCGGCTATGTGCTCAGTTATTATTGGTTATATTGGTATTATTTTAGCATTAAATTTTTTACTTTAAAATTTAAATTTAACAAAAAGTTTTAGAAATTGAAAATCATTATCTAATCGGCATTTAAGCAGTTCAAGCAGTAGCTAAAAAGCTCTAGACTGCTTTTCTTGTATGGCATGATTTCTGGCGAACGGCAAAAGTTCCACTGTAGCGTTCCACTGTGCCTTAACTGCCATCACTTAACGTTAACAGTTTACGCTTGCCTGCGGGCTAAAAAGGCTGGCGTTGCACTACACACATACATACACACTTACGCACACTTGTACAAAAGGCAGAATGAGTGAGAGAGAGAGAGAGAGAGGGAGAGCACCTAACACAGGCACAGGCACTGCATGGAGCGGAGGCTGTGCTGTGCTGCTGGGCTTTCTCGTTCATGTCTCGCCATCATTTTCGGTGCTCGACGTTCAAACTGTTTCTCTCCCCCCCCTGCTGATGATGCTGCTGCTGCTGGTGCTGCATGGGGCAATGCTGCATGCGGCGCTAACTGCGTAAAGTTGGCACTTGAAAATGTCAGCTTAAAAATGCCAGCTGCACACAGAGAAAAGTGAGAGAGAGAGAGAGAGGGAGAGACACAGCCAGAGAGAGAGAGAGAGCGAGTGCGATAGAGACAGAGCACTTGCATGTAGTACATAAAATGCACAAAATGGTCGAACGACTCATAGCGAAAGTTGGATAGCCCATAAGTTACAGGGCTGCAGGAGCAGCCCCAGCGCCTCTCCACCAAAGGCAAGTCGAAACTCTGAGGATCTGCGAAGCAGGAGGGAGGAGGGAGACGTTGGTGGTTGCACGGAAGGATGGGCGGATGAAGGGGGTCATAACTTTTGCGTAACCCCAATATAAAATGCATATTTAAATGCCAGAGCAGGCCATACCACTTAACCTTTGCCAGCAACGCGTTGCAACGTACATTTATACTCCGGTTTTAACTTAACACTATTTTCATGAATTTTCCCTTTTTTTTTTGTGTTTTGTTGTTTGTGTTGCAGATGGTGACGAGAACGAAGAAAATCTTTGTGGGCGGCCTCTCGGCGCCCACCACGCTGGAGGATGTGAAAAGTTATTTTGAACAGTTTGGTCCGGTAAGTGGAACTTCCATTAAACTATATACATATACAGTACATACTATATCTACATATCTGTTCGTATGACTCAAAAATTACAATGTCTGAATAATATATTCAAGGGAGCATTAACCTATGGATAGGTAACATTTATTTTCTACGCTGCTAGCATAGACAAACTCCAAGCGCACCACAACCAAATCTCTCTCAACTGACCCGAGCGAATGTTTTAACTTCGCTTGCGCTCTTAGCTTCGTGTGTTCGGCGCACACGAATCTCTGTTTGCCTCTCTGACTCTGACCAAGCAGCCGATCTCTTATCTCGCGACTCGCGAGCATGTCTGTGCATGCATAGACCGAGTAGACAGAGTGCTTACACGCAAGAGAAGGCACTTTGCCAGCAGCAGCCTCGCTCTTCTGATCGACAAAAGTGTTTACGAAAAACAGTTCCAAAGAGCAGACGGAAAAAGGCGTCGTTGCTTGTACAACAACAACAACAAAAGAGAATTTGTGCTTTTGGTGCACTTTGCATTGTGTGAGTAAAAGAACCGTTGGTTTTGTTTCCAACAGCCTAGACCAGAATTTTAGGCGTTATTTGCTAGCTCTGCTTTTTCTTCTTATAGGAAACTAAAGAATAAGAATAGAATATTTTTGGGCAATCAATTTCCTGCAGTAGTTGCCTGTCTCATTTGAATATTCATAACTAGAATCATCATAGATGTGCATACATATATGTATGTATGTATTTATGTAAATATGTATATACTATACATACAATATTCCAAAAGAGCCTGACCTGCCTGCCTGCCTGCCAGCAAATGCTAAATGAATTGAAGCAAAATAATAATCATAAAACGAAATGTGAATGACAGTTGTGGAACAAATCATGCAATCTATTCCGCAAGGCAAGGCCCTACCAAACACACACACTCATACATACATACATATACATACATATATTTCTCTAGCTCTTGGCTGATTCTGGCAGTTCGGTTGGCTGGGCGCAGGGGGCTTTGGGAGAGGCACAGCAATGACACCTTCACTGGCTGCCACTTGCTACGTTTTGTTTGATCAATAAAAACGCCAAAAAAAAAAAACAAAAAACCAAAAGAAAGGAAGAGAAATGAAACGAAAGCCAGCCAAAAAACGAATAAATGAGAAAAAACCTCCAACCCAAAAAAAAACAAAAAAAATAAAAGAGGAAATTTCCTACCAAATTCAATCTTGACAAGTACTGCAGAAGCACAGGAGGAGTCCCTGCCCTGCCCTGCCCCACCTGCAGCAGCAACTCCACTAAACCCACACACACACCACACACACACACACACACCCATATGCATATCGAGTGTGTGTGTGTATGTGTGTTTTGCGGCTGAGTGCTGTTCGAGTGCTCTTTAAGTTCCTCCTCCATTCAGCCATGTTAGGCAAAGGCCCGGGACTGGAGAGCAAAAGGAGTGGGCAGAGCGGAGGAGGGTCCATGGCACAGACGGGGAAGGGGGAGTTCAGGTTCGGTTCAATGGAAGCCTTTTACGCCAACAGCCCCGCTAGCCCGCAGACTTGTTATAGCGCAAAAACACAAATTTTTAGCACGAGAACAAAAATTTTGTGTTGTTGATTACGATACTAAACGAAAATCGATTTGTTAGACGCGTTTTGTGCCGCTCTGTTCCGTTCCGTTCCGTCGTTCGTTTCGTTTCGTTTGGTTTGGTTTTTCCCCGATTTTAATGAGCGGCGTATCCCCCTGTAGAACCCAACTAGAGAGGGGTGGCCAAACGGGGATATTCATTAACGATACGCAGGAGCAGGAGCAGCAGCAGGAGGAAGGGTACAACATTCAAGAGCACGCAGAAATCCATTGAAAAAAGAGTTTAAGATTTAAATGGTCCGATGGTTTTTCGGGGTTTGGGTTGCGTTTCATCTTTCTGTAGCCTTAAAAGCCATCGAAAGAATCGGGCGGGGAATAATGGCTTTCAAGTTAAAGATGAAATGAAAGCAGTAACAGGTGATAGGACGAAAAGGGAATACAGAGGGAATGAGGGAATACAGAGAGTAATTGTTGTGGAACTTAAAGATTTACAAAGATTAAGATTTAAGTTTTTCTTACACGAAATCTTCACTAAAAGCTGCCCCACAGATAGATGGAGAATATCGAGGATATTGCGTATAGAGAAAGTAAAGATACACAATCCAAGATCTACAGATAGATGCCCCAATGTGAGTAGCTTTAATACCAATTTAAGTATCTCCCTTGCACTCCCCTTACTTCGGTTTAATCAGAAAAAATAACCACAAGGCTAACTAAATTAAATCCAATTTGCCATAAAAAAGATACTCCTACCTTTGCAATTTGTTTCTACTGCTAGAATTCCCCTTCATAATGCTACTTCTAGAACTTTCTCATATTTCCCATTGAGCCATGACAAATTTGAATGAATTTCAAAAGAAAAGAAAAGAACAGAAACAGAAAAAGAATGGAAACATCGATATGCGATGGCTATATCGTGTGACACCTACAAATGCCATTATTTGTTTTTTTTTTTGCAAGCAAATTATTCCCCATCCCCGGCTGTCATCATCATGATATTTCAGCCCCCACCCCCCCAGCTGCTCATTGCTCAAATTTCAGGATGGGATTTCTCTCCATTCCCTTGCCCTTCACGTTGAGATTTCTCTCACTTGCTCCACGCTTTCATCATGGGATTCCCATGCCACACAAAAACAAGTACGTCCTCCGCCGCAACCCCTACAGCCCCTATAAAATGAAATTCAACGCCTCTGTGGCGGCACTTGGGTCTTGGGTTGGGGGCAGGCAGGCAGGTAAAGCTGCCGATAATTGACATAAATTGGCGCAACTTTTTGTCAGCTCTTCACCGCAAAGACGTCAACTGCCATTTGCAATGGTTCATTGCCGTTTCACCGTGTGGAAACAACTCGCTGCTGCCAGCCAGGCCACCCACCCACTTGATAATGCGAATATAATGACGAGAGAGAGAGGGAGAGAGGAGAAACCCATAAACGGCCATCAATCAAATCAGCGGCTGAGAACTGAAATGCTTTTAAGTAATTTTCATCATGGCCCCCGGAGAGTGGAAAACTGTCAAAATCCATAACGATCAAAACTAGTCGAACATAAGAAGGATATATGTATACGAGTACATATGTATGTATGTACATATTGAAATTCAAGGTAATGCTAATGGCAGGACCTCTTCTGCTGCCACAAAGGAAGCGCCAAAGGTGGAAACAAAAGGCTCGCTGGCTGCTGCCTGGCTGCCTGGCTGCTGCCTGGCGATTTAACCAAGCGCGCAAAACTCTTAATGGAAAACTTTTCAATTAATCCGCATTGGCAAAGAAAATTATAATAATAACTTGGCCTGGGCAAAATGGGTAAATGGTTGAGTGCAGAGGGGGGGTGGGCGGCAGGCTGGGGGCGCTGTGTCGCTGTGTGTATAAGTCCGTCCGGCCATAAGCTGTGCAAAAACTTTCGACAAGGCAAACAAAACAGAAGCCCAAGAACCAGCCAGCAGGACCTCAACCTCCCACACACACACACACACACAGGCACACATTTGCCCAAGTTATTGATTACAACTAATCCCCTTTTGGCTTTCGCCTACCGCCTCATTGGGCAGCAGTAGCAGCAGCAGCAGCAGCAGACCCCTCCCACGCGGGTAGAGATTTGCGCCATGGCCATAAACAAAATAGCAAAATGGCAAATGGCCTGGCCCGGCTTAGACCCAAGTCCCTTGACTGCTCCTTCCTTTCTGGTGTTCCTGCCTTCTCATGCCACTGGGGCAGGGACAGGGACAGGGACAGGGGGCTGGGGGCTCCTCCTTCCTGCTGTCCAGGTGACCATCGAGGCGTTAATGACTTTAGCGGCCATTTTTCTTCCGCCCGGATGGTGGAGGAGGAGGAGACGCGAAGAGATTGCTCCTGGAAAAGATTGATTAGCTCGAACTCTGGCAGACACAAAAACCCCATAACGGAGGCACTGACTGTGGCACGGTGCACAGGGTGGGGGGAGGGGGGGGTGGCAGAGCCATTCAATATGATTAATAGTTGCATGCGTAGCTGCTGTCTCTCCTTCTATCTACAGCTCTATCTATATATAGGATATGGTAGCTGTATCTGTTTGTGTGTACATTTTTTTTTGTTTCGTGGGTTATATAGAAATTTATGACCCAGCTGCCAGGCCAATTTCATGTTGCCACAACAGCAGCAGCAGCAGCAGGAGCACTCAACATTTTTATTTCAGCCTGCCACATGGCATTCCATGCCACATTTCTAGCAACATTTCAGCCTTGCTTCATTTTACATTTTACAGTTGCAGAATAGATTTTTCCCGTTCGTGTTTTCTTTTTTCTATCATTGTTTTGCCATTGTTGTTTAGTTGCATTTTCAGTGTAGTGTTGGCCATTTTCTATTTGCCACTTGCCCCCCCACCAACCATCCATCCATCCATCTATCCATCCTGTGTGGCGAGGGGATCTGCCTGCAGACTGCAGATTGTGAGAATATTTTTTGAAATCAGTTGAATGTTTGCTGAATGCTGCATGCTGATGCTCTGTCTCCCTCTCAATTATCTCCAAATTAACTCGAAATCTTTCTCCATCGCTCACTTGGTCTGTGTGTCCTTTAGGCTATTTGTGGCATGTCCTGTCCTGTGCCCCCATTGTGCACCTTGTAGCCTTTTGTATCTGGCCAAGGACCCTTGAACACACCTTTTAAATGCAAATCGGAAAACTGTATTCCACACCCCCACCCACTCACCAAATACGAAATACGAAACTCGAAACAAAAACTAAAGGCTCAAAAAAAGGAAGAAAAAGCAACACAAACAAAACAGACAAATTTCAAATTTTCTCTGCGCAAATTTTCATTGCAAATGTTCTCTATTTAACAAGCACACACACACACACACACACACACACACATCGGGGAAACAGAGAGAGAGAGAGAGAGAGAGAGGGCGACGGAGAAGTTCTGACCTCAGATGCTGCAACCTTTGGCCACTGATTT